AGCCGCGGGAGCCTCGTCGTCTTTACTGTCTGCGGCAGGGAAAGTCACTGAGTCTTATCTGCGGGGCCCTCTCCTGGCTCCGAGACTTCGAGGAGAAGAAGCAGCGGGAGGAGGCGCGACTTCTGGCGCCTGCGGAGAGCGGGCAGGAGGGGAAGAAGCCGCTGACCCCAGCGGGGCCAGCAGCCCCAGACGGCAGAGACACCGCCGGGGAACCGGACTGGGTTACGGCCTTTGTGCAGAAGAAGGAAGAGCGGGACATGGTGGACAGGCTAAAGGTTGAGAAATGCTCGAATGCGGGGGATGGGTAAAACAATGAGGCGTGAGGGTCAGAAAGGCTCACGTCCTGGGCGATGATGGGAAAAACAGGCGAGGCGGACTTTGGCGGTGGTCCTTGTCTTTCACAGGACTTTGTTTCAGTTATGAGGGATGAGGCATTGCCGAGCGGGTTGCGTAAGACAGAAAACTATATTGCTCTGAACATAGTAAGCTATAATAGGCGTGCACTCCAGGAGAAAGGGACAGTGTACTGACAATTTTGTTTCAGAGTTTTTTTTTCTATACCCAGGGCATAAGAAAGTAATTATACCCAGGGTTTAGGTCTAAATACTCTTCATCCTTCCTTCACTCTCCCTTTATTTTAGGAAGAGCAGATCAGGAGGAAAAAGCGAGAAGATCGTCTTGAGAAAATTCGCCATAACATACAGTTAAAATATGCAGCCAAGAGGAAGGTGAGTTATCTCGCAGAGATTAGAACTTTCTGGTTTGGTTACCTCGAGTGTTGTTCATACTTGCTTATGTCTGCGACTTCACACTGAATTTTCCAACCTGTCTGTTTGGGGAGCCCTTTGCATTAAGTTGCTGAAATTGGCTATCCAGGATTTTTTATTAGTTTTCTTTTTAAAGTACAGACGTGAAAAACAATTTGTGTATAGAGAATTTCCTGTGACAATGTTTGTGTGTGGATAGAAAGGGCATGTGTTCTGATGGCCTTCTGGCCCTCTGCTTTTGTTTTAAAAGCTTTAATACGTGGACTTTTTTTATTTTTTTTTTGAAAGCGCTCTGTTTTATGAGCATGTGTGAACACTCTGTACTTCTGGAATAAAACCTGTAGAACTGTGACTAAATTTAAGATCATGGGAACAGAAGACCCCCTCAAAAAAGCCACGTCAGGCTTTGGTTGTATTTTGCTCACCACTAGGGAGCGGTTGTATTTTTTTACTTTCATTGCAAATGTGATTGTTTTGTTCAGAAATGTCTCTTTTCTACATACAAAAAGTTCACAGATATATTTTCCTGCCGGTTAGATGGGTGAACTGGCCTCAGTACTCTTGTCTCTAAGAGCTTTTTGATGGTGAGTCAAACTTCTTAAAGATACCCCCTTCAGGTCCCCAAACAGGCAGATTTGTTAGGCTGCCAGGCTATTCATTTCTAGTGTGCTCCATCTCGAGGGCTGTGGTACGTTTTGGTCAACTCCTGTCAAAAGGGTATGGCAGAAATAGCAAAGGTTCAGAGGCGAATGGCAAATAAAAAACAAATTGAACAAAGAACTTTTCTCTCTTAAGAGGTTGAAGAGTATGTGAAATGAGAAGCATGACAAGAAACAGGAAAGCAAATGAGAGAAATACTATAGAGATTTGGAAAAGCAACTGATTCATCTCCTCTGTAGTGCTCCCTAACTGCATTTTTTCATAATGTCGTGGTAAAAAACTGCTCATTGATATTGGAAAATACTGTTTTCAGATTGTGTTCTAATAAAGAAGAGTTCATTTTTTCAAAGTTAATCAGAAAACTATTCTTCAACAGTTTAATGGAATTTTTGTAGAGGGGTAGACCTGTGTTTGCTAGAATAAGAACCACATAACTGGAGAAAAAAACAGCAAGAAGAGTCTTGTGCTCCGTGTTCTAAAATAGGTGCTGAGTTTATCCTAGCTTTGAGTTAAATGTGGACGGAGTGTTTGATTATGTCTTTATATGTTTGTGTGGTTGCACTTATTTGCACACTGTTTTTTCTCAGGCGTACATCTTTTATGGGCCACTTTAAGCAACTAATACTGGATTACATGAATATTGTCATTTCAGGATCTATTAGTTCAGTGAGCTTTTTGCATAGAAGGTTTTTTATATTTCCCCTTCGTATATGTCTGTGAGGGCAACTCTTGGGTTGTTGGTTACAGCTGCATTCTGTGGGGCTGAACAGCTTCAGACACCCTTGGTGCATTTGCTTGTCCTGCTGGGGTTTTACCCAGCAAGCCATTCCCTGTGTTACGTGTGGGGGACTGTGCTGCCTTCTGACCTGTCCGTGGCATAAAGCAATACCTCTCTTTCTGTATGAGAAATAATGTGATGGTGTGTTCCCTTCAGAGATCTGAGGAGGATGAGACAAAGCACCTTCTTCAGCTCAGCAAAGAGGTTCTTTCAGAGGGAGCTGGGGTGGATGTTCTAGAGCAGCTGGATCACAATGAGGAGGAGCTGATTCTTGCTGAATATGAGAGTGACGAAGAAAAGAAAGTGGTATCTGGGTAAGGACAGGGACTGAGAGGGTTCCATGCCAAGGAAGCATGTTCTGTATCATTTTTTGCTTGCCTTGATTAAAGAGATTTCACCTGTTATTGTGCGCATCTGGAGTTTCTCCCCCATTCAAGCTGTGTAAGGTAGTGGTTGTTCTGGGTGTTTGTTTGTTTTGGTGGGGTTTTTTGGGGGGGCGTGTTATTGTTTCATTTTTTAAGCTCTTGTTAAACTGATCGGAGTGACCTGAAGTGTTTTCTGAGAAAGTGCATCTTTCTTAAAATGTGTGGCAAATGTCCTGCCTTTATCCGTGCCTGGTTTCCCAAAGAATGCCTCTGGATGTTGAGTGAATGACTTGAGATCAAGTTCCTTGCAGTAGAAAAGCAAAACCACACTCAGGGCATCAGAGGAAGCTATGAGTCCTGCAGATTAGCACTGGCATCCTTTGATATTCTAAAGGGAGACATGTTCGTATTTCTGAAGACTGAGCTTCAGCATGAAAACCCCATACACGCTTTTCTCTCTCATACATTTGCTTTATGCAGAAAGCCAGAAGCCATACTTCAGCATGAAAAGTCAAGTACATTTAAAATACAAATTTACTAATTAGTATCTAGACAGAGCCTTCTGCCTTAAAAATTGCAAAACACTTAACTACTTTGTTTATATGTAGTTT